GTCACGAACAATCTTTCGGAGAATATCCCCTAGAGTCCTGTTCGTGATCTCGGTCTGACCATCAGTCTGAGGATGGTAAGATGAGGAGAAGCGGAGCTGAGTGCCGTACACCTCGAGGAGCCGTCGCCAAAATCGGCTGGTAAAGCGCGGGTCACRGTCAGATATGATGCTCAGAGGTAAGCCGTGGTCACGCACGACTCGGTCAAACACAATGTCGGCGACCTCACGTGCACTGATGGCATAGCGACACGGGACAAAGCGTGCACGCTTCGTAAAGCGGTTGACGACGACCAGGATAGCATCATGACCGCGGGGGGTCGGAGGACGAAGAGGACCGATAAAGTCCATCGAGATGGACTGCCAACGACCCTCAGGGATAGGAAGAGGTTGGAGCAAACCATAAGGCAGGTGGTTCGCACTGTTCACCTCCTGACAGGTGGGACACTCTGCGACGTAGTCCTTCACAAAGTCCTTGCGCTTTGGCCAGACGTATAGGCGGCTCACACGAGCCAACATCTTGTGGAAGCCCATATGACCGGCGGCTGCCTGGTCATGGAACTCTGCTACTGCTYGGGCACGTAGCTGTCCAGTGGAGGGAACGCAAATACGGGGCTCTCTGGTGCCCTGTGAACCGTGCTAGTACAYAAGAMCGTTGTCCCCGAGAGAGTAGTTCGGGACGGTCTTGCCACTCCGAAGGGTCGCGTGGATGTCGCGATAGTCGGGGCAGTGGCGGTACTGAGTGCGGAACTCGTCGATCACCGAGTGGTGGATGGTGGTGACGAGATGGAAGAGAGCTGGATCTGCTCCTGGTCGTGGTCAGGGCGCCGGGATAAGGCATCTGAGACTCGATTAGTCTCACCCTTGATGTGCTCAGTGGTGAAACTAAACTCGGATAGGTCGCGCCACCAGCGAGCCTGTCGAGGAGTGAGCTTCAGTTTTGTCAGAAAAGCCTGGACAACAGAGTTGTCCGTGCGCACCGTGAATGGTGCCCCGTGCAGGTAGTGACGCCAGTGTCGAGCGGCATAAACTACTGCGAGAACCTCGCGTTCATCAGCGGTGTTGTTTATCTCGGCGGGCAGGAGTTGACAGGAGTAGAAGGCTATCGGACAATCACCTGAGCAGACTCGACAGTGCCGTCCTCGACGATAGTAGGAGAATAGTCAATAGAAGGCTCGTCAGTAGCTGGACGAGTAGGCGTCAGTCGGGAAGCAGTGGTAGGGGTAGGTGGTGGGAAGCGAGGGATACGAGGATGAGAGGAATCAGGGGAGGAAGGGAAGACATGAGAAAGCACTGCTCCTACAACAAAGTCTGACGCATCGGTGGTACGGATAAAAGGGCGATCAAAATCAGGTAGGTGAAGAACCGGTGCGCATGTCACCGCCTTCTTGAGGGCGCAGAAGGCGTCCTCGTGAAGGGGTGTCCAAGCCCAAGGTGGGTTCTTTCGGAGGAGGGTGGAGGTAAGGACGTAGGAATACCTAGCGTATCCCTGGATGAAATTACTATAATAGCTGGTAAGGCCTAGGAAGCTGCGAAGCTGCTTGGCGGATGTGGGGACGGGCCACTCCGCAATGGCAGTGATCTTCGCGCCGTCTATATGGAGACCCTGGTCAGACATGTAGTGTCCTAAGAAATCCACTTTGTGCTGGGCAAAGCGGCACTTGCTCAGCTTGGCGTAGAAGCCATGTCTGCGCAAGTGGTCAAGGACGTCGCGGAGTTGTCTGAGGTGCTCCTCAAGGGTACGACTRTAGACCAGGATATCGTCGAGGTAGACGAGAACGTACTGCTCCAGGATGTCCCTGAAGATGTCGTTCATCGCCCTCTGGAAGGTAGCGGGTGCGTTGGTGAGGCTGAATGGCATTACCATGAACCCGTAGTAGTCAAAGCGCGATCGGAACGCTATCTTCGGCTGGTTGGCTGCAGCGACGCGGATCTGATGGTAACCGCTACGAAGATCAATCTTCGTAAAGAAGCGGTTGCCTGCTAGGCGGTCGAACAGCTCGTCGGAACGGGGCATGGGGTAGCTGTTCTTAACCGTGTAGCGGTTGAGGCCGTGATAGTCGATGCAGAGACGGAGAGTTCCATCCGCTTTGCGAGCAAAGAGGACGGGTGCACCCCACGGGGAGTTGCTGGGTTTAATGAAACTCAGTCTCAGGAGCTCCTCAAGCTGATGCTTGAGTTCGGTAGCCTTGGGGATCGAGAGTCTGTAGGGTGCCTGGTGGTGAACACGATAGTCAGGCACAAGCTGGATGGAGTGCTCGACGTCGCGCATCGGTGGGATGCCGGCGTACGAGAACGACGATGGGAAAATGTCGTGGTACTCTCGAATGAGGTCACGAACTGCGGGCTCCAGGTCGGCCGTATAGCGTGCGAGTTCCTTAGCGTCAACGTCAGTGCGCGACGAGGGGGTGGACTCGATGGACGGTGGAGGGGCGGAAGTAGAGATGGGAGCCATGGAGATAGAAGGAGGATCCGGCTCCAGAGGGATGAGCTCGGCGTCGGGACAGGGTGGATCATAGTGTAAGAGATCCGTCACGTTCACCATAAAGAAGGTGGCGTCGTCCTGTCGGATGAAGTGGACGAACTGTCGAGGCAAGGTGACAGTGATAGAAGGAGATGATGTGGGCACGGAAGGCTCCGGGGGAGGAGGATCGGGGTGTGGTGTCGCAGTGGTACCTATGAAAGGTACGCGATACGTCTGAACGAGAGTGTTGGTCACCCAATCGGCCTCGGTGCTGCGGAACCGACGATACCACAGAGTGTTGAGAATGAAGTCGTACCCCGTCTCTATCACATCGAAATGTGCAGAGGAGCGGTGGCGACGAGACGTTGGGGGACGATTAGTCAACTCGAGAGTGAGGAAGAAGGGGAGGTCGGTGACCGTCTGATCGAAGAAGTGTTGGGTCTTGTCATCCCCTAGGGTAACGGAGATGGGAGTCGAAGACCCTGTCGTGGGTAAGCGGGCTTCTTTCACCACACGTGGATGAATGAAGTCGCCCTGGGAACCGGAATCCCACAACGCTGAGTACAACCTCGTGGAGGTCCCGAGTCATACTGGAATGATCGGGAGGGTGCGATCAAGGTCAAAGAGGATGGTGAGAAGGCGCCGCAGTGCAGCGACATGGAGGGTGAGTCGCTCCTGACAAGCCTGGAGCATGCTCAAGTCCAGAAGAGAGGACACAACGTCCTCGCAAGTAGCGAGCTGCTCGCTGCAACGGGATGAGCGAATGGCTCGACGCGTCGGTAGTCGTGGCGGGGAAGAAGGGGAGACGGTGGTCTGCGGAGGCGCATACGGTACTGTGACAGAGGGCTGAGTACACTCTGTCGGGTCTTGCGAGACCTCGAATCCAGTAGCCAGAGGGGCAAACCGCGACGGGGATGTCGGGAAGCCGGCTACTGAGGAGGGCGCAGGTGTACAGTGCACCGTGGCTAGGAGGCGTCGCGGGGATGCGAAGCGCCGAGGGGGGACTGAGCACGACGCTGGCGGGAAAGGTCAGCGTAGTGGCGGTTAAGGGCGGTGGTGTAAGGGCACCGCGAGGAGGTATAACCGTCCTGACGGCAGCGTAAACACCCATGCCGTCCCAAAATAGCCGCGCGCTTCTCAGTGGAAAGGACACCACGAGGAGGGACAAAGCCCTGAGGGAGGTCCTGTTGAGGGACCTCGGGGGGCGACGCACCAGCGTGACCAGGGCGGCTGCGTGCCTGGGAAAGGGTTGAGAGGATGAGATGGAGGCGCTCGACCATAGGGAGAGTTGAGTCCTCTAGGTGGTGGTGGACGGCCTCGCCGAGGTCGAGGTCGTCGCTATGGTCACCCTCTGGCGACAGCGGGGCACCAATGTCCTGCTCACCATACTCGAGCGCGCTGAAGCGGTGCGAGTAGTGGCGGCCCTGCTGCGCGGAACGGCGGGGGCGACCCCGGAAAGGGGAATGGCGCTGGGAAGTGCCATGAGAGGAGGAGGAGGCGTAACCAGTACGCTGGGGCTGGGAGGAGGAGGCGGGGTGAAGACGGGCCCCCATCCACAAATGGTCTCTGGCGGCCTCGTAAGCCTGCGAGGCCGATGTGAACTTGTACCGCCATAACTCGGAGTGGTACTCGAGCGGGAGGCTGGCTAAGAAACGATCGATAAGGGCAGCCTCGGGAGGAACGCCACGTCACAAATGAGGCGTGCGTCCTGAAAGACCTGGATGTGGTGATCCAGACCGACAACGCCACCACAGCCGGACCAGCGTGTAGTGACGACACGCTCGAAGGCGTCAGTCACATCATGCTGGGCTCCGAAGCAATCCTCAAGGAACGCCTGGAAATCCATGAAGGTCGGGTTTCGACCCGTGCGGAGGGAGTGCGCGTAGAAATCCTCCCAGGCCTCGAAAGGACCTCCACGCAGGCGCGTGGAGAGGTGATCCACCCACGTGTCGGGTGTGGCGCCCATGAGCTGGAGCGTGCGGGTGGCAGACTGCAGCCACCGAGACACGCGTATGCTTGTACCGTCATACAGGGCAATGTCCGACAAGCGGGTGAGTGGTGCGCCACCGTTTTGGCGGCGAGGGGATCGAGGAGCAGAGGCCTGTGCCACGACTGGAGAAAGGGGCGCAATTGACTGTGTGCCTGGCCCGCATGGGGGAGCGGCGGGGGCAACTGTGGTAGGCTGCGAGGGAGCTGCGGTAGAAGAGGTCGCAGCAACCGCGGGAGTAGGAAGAAGGTAGGATGGGGCTGGATAGGGTGCAGGGCACGGGAAGCGATCCTGCATGGGAGGAAGGGTAGAGGAGGTAGGGGGTGCGCCCGAAGGCGCGGCCGCCTGTGAGGGTGGGGGTGGCTGAAGGCGTAAGAGGGCGAGGTCGGCCCGGATCTGGGCAAGCTCGTCCTCGAGACGTTGGACGTGGATCGAGCGAGGAGTGGCAGGAGGAAGAGTGGAGGAAGTGGACGCACAAGCGGCGCGGGGCATCTCAGAGGGGGGAGAGCCATGTGGCGCTGCGGTCGTGCGAAGGGGAGAGAGAAGTGTGGCACCCGGAAAGGCTGAGACCCTGGTAGCGGGTTGTGGTCCCGTGGCCGTAGTGACCGGAATCTGGGCGGGTGCACCTGTAGACTGAGCGAGGGCCTGGCTCGTGGCGGCCGTCGTGCTAGGGGCGTGGACGGTCAGCAAGATGGCCGGGTCCTATGCTTGATGCAGCAGTGACAACTTTTCAGGCAGTGAGGCAACTGTCGTGCTCGCGCCTTGTAAAATTTCTAAATCTCTACATGGAGGCATGGAACCTTCTTTCCAATTTAGGCGGTGAAGTTCGGTGCAGTGACCTTCCTGGTCAACGCTCTTTGACTTTCGGCGCACCATATAAACGCAAGTTAGATTCTCTCTCTCTCTCTCTCTCTCTCTCTCTCTCTCTCTCTCTCTCTCTCTCTCTCTCTCTCTCTCTCTCTCTCCTCCCCCCCCCCTTCCCTCCCTGAGGTAGGAGTACGTGCCCAAATGACAAATGGAATAGCGATTTGACTGCTTTCTTATTTGTCTGCTTCAGCACTGCGCGCTCCCATGCATTTGTGGTGTACAGTTTGGCCACATGTGGAAGGCATGAGACTCAGCCTAAGAAGCATTAGCTATTCATTGCTTCCTTTCACTGCTTCCCTTCCCCTCTATTTTGCCATGCTGCGACATCAGCAGTGTCACCTTGAAGGAGGCAGACTGTGGAACAATGGATAACAACTGAAGGACCGCCAGATATGATTGAATATGCAAGCTATACTATCCCTAAGAACATCAATCTTGTCAATAAGAATCACCCCTCCTCCAGACCATACCACTGAATCTCCACCAGGGCCAATTCCGAAGGGGGAAAAGGGCAGAGTTGCAGCTAGCTAATCTGCCCCCCCCCCCCCCCCCCCCCCCTGGAGAGGCCCCTTCATGCGCTGCAATGGTTCACCAACCCTGCTTGGACGGTGCCCGCTGTGTCCAAGACACCAGCCCCGCTTACACCACAAGGCCAAACGAGAAGGGATATAGCAAACGACCCCCTCTGGCCAGACATGGTGAAACTGTGGCGAGAGATGGGCCCGAACAGGCTCCCACTGCCCGCATGCTGGTGCAAAATTATCAAACAACCTCTCTTTGGCCAACCCCTCATCTGTGATGAGGGGAAACCCTTTGACCTGTCCAACCGATCACACTGGGGCCTATGGGTGGCCAAAGGAATGTGTGCACTGGGGGATATATGGGGCTTCAAACAAAACACCTGGAAGTCGAACGCCCTAATGAAAGACAAATCAAGCACGTCAGGGATAGATCCCAGAAACTGTGCCAGTGCAGGAGGCTATCCCCCTGGCTTGGGTGCAGCAGCTAGAGAGCGGACCCACCATTCAGAAGGGACAGTGGGTGGTTCACTGAAAGGAACTCCGTTCGCCGGCGGTCATCAGCCGAGTGACAAACACAATAAAGCAAATGGTTCACCCGAAAGCTTATGACATGGCCTCCCCGGGGGGCAGGTGGTCAGCCCTGCAGCACAACGATGAAGAAGATCATGACTGCACCTGGGCAGGCTTGGTAAGGGTGAGGGTGCTAGAAGAGATTGATCACTCCCTTCACGTATGTCAACCCTCCCCTATTGCCACCCCAACATTCGACCCCCTGGAATGGGAGTCGATGCAGGCAGGCCCGAAAAACTCCGTCAAACCATGGCAATACATGGTCAAACAGGGTTACCGCAGTCTGCATAAGACCTGCCCGACGCACAGACTGATCAAACGCCGTTGGGATAAAGGCTCCATCCTCCTGCCAGAGGACCTTTGGGGATTCAACTGGTCACAGTACGCCCACATAATGCCAACAGCACATTTAGGGCACTTCAATGACAGATCCTGTTCCGCTGTCTGCCCACCCCCGATTAGCTGGTCACACGTAACTAACTTTGAGCAGCAAGTCCATCTTTCTCCCATATGCCGTTACTGTGGCAGAAATTCCCAGCCATTCCAGGCCACGATAGAGCACCGCCTCCTCGCCGTCCTCGGTTGCCAAATGGGTCTCGCAGATATGGAGATGGTGAGATGCATCATGGACAGCTCTGACAGGCTCCCAGTACCCATGGCGCCCCAGGCTCCTGCTGCTGGGGAACCATGTGGACATCCCGACCAACTGGTCCCTCTAAGAAAAGAACCCGTTCCAAATCACACGAATTGAGATGCTGATGTTCGCCTGGCATGCCCGCTGCAGGGGCGTTCGGAAGGAGGGAAGTGAAGGTCCCACAGCGAGTGTAAGCAGATTTTGGGGGCTGCTCAAGTTTGGGGCTGGTGAGATGCACAGGTCAACATTTGACCTGGGGGGGGAACTGATGCCTCGGTCACGCTCGGTGGTAGTAAGGGGGGGAAAGTAT